GACGCGAAAGTATATCTGTGATGCTCAAGTTGTACTAAATTCGCTATTCCGGCCCATGTTTCCAAGTTTATGTTGAGTTCTTTATTCTACAAAATGACCTATAGCACGCAAGCTCAGACTTCTACATTATAACCTAGTGACTGACATCAGATAAAAAAGAGAGTTACAGAAAACAGATTATAAATGATATAGTTGTTATTGTTTCTGAACACTACTCTCATTTGATGCATTATCTCTCCCAATAAACAGCTTTCTTCAATCTTAATTCGACTTGCCTTCCATTATTTAAATATACCCCACCTTGTCAAATAACACAACTCATTGTTCTTCATTACTGTATTCTTTTATCTGGTGGCTCCAACACATTTCGCTGCGACATCAGGAACTAGTGTGAGTTTTATCTAATAATTCATCATGCATTTACCTGTAAATGGTGTATGCTTGTTCTAGTATAAATATAGATCATTTAATTAACTGGTTATGAGAGCAAATTAAATGATTGCTTGTTATACAAACAAGCAATTTTTGTTTTCCTGATGTAAAATTCAAAATTCAGGAAATTCTGGTTTGTCTGTCCCGTTAGCTTTTACTAGTGTTTAGGTCTTAACCGCACTATCTTCGGGGCTGAGGTTATAAGTACTGAGATTTACACTCAGCATGTAACACAAAGAGCAAGTTAACAATGGTCAATGCTGGAGGAAAGAAAGGGACTGGCAAGGCTAGGTCATGCAGGTGCAGTCACTATAACCTCTTGCTCATTGCATCAAACACATCGCTCTCTTTCCTAGTCAACTGAGTTCTTCAGAAATACTGGACGTCATATCACTGATCGTCATGATACGACGAGCGAGTGTAGAGAATGCTGTGACTTCCGCGTAAGATCTTATAGAATGGGTAGTCATATCATGACAACCCTATAATTTTGAGATTAGGTCTACCATTAAGGTAATGGTAATACCAAACAAGACCCAACTACTAAGCTGAAAACACCTGAAAAATATTTTTCTAGAGGATACAAACATCTAATAAAAACCCTGTTGTCACAGTGTAAGAAATGGTTCTGTCAATTGAGAGATAATATTGTATCTAAAAATGGTGAAAGGTAAAATCACTTTGCTCCAAAGGTGGGCAAGCGGCAGTAAAACAAAAACTGTAAAAGAAAGTCAGAAAATGTACAATTAATCACCGATTACCATCTATAGCTATATTAGTCCAATATGGCAACTGCAAAAAGACAATTGTAGGTTAAACGAAGATGAAACACCTGTCTTCCTACTACCAAACTGTACTTCTACCTATTATTGGCGGCGACGTATTCTGTTTCATTGTGATTATCGACCTAAATTGCCTTGATCGGTTTAACATTTTCGTATAAATACTCTTGTATATTAAAGTAAAGCCTGATGATGATCTAATTGAAAACAATTGTTCGCTTACATGTGTTGTTCTAATCTTCACAATGGGAATCTTTAATATCCTTTTGTAACTTGTACAACGAAACGTTTTACACTTTTTATAAGCGCACCTGAATAGGCTATGTATTTAATTTATATAATGATGTGTCAAAATAAAAAAGGAAACAGATTACTTATTGAATTATCTAGATGGCACGAACAGGTAGCTTGGATATTCAAGCAGGCTGCCAGATCCCCTTCACTGGTTATTTACAATAAAACGTCTATAATGTAGCACGAAATTCCCTCGATAATTTTCACCTGACTTAATTGTGCCGCTCATGGTTTTTTGCAAACATTTTTGCAGCGGCCGTCTCTACCCATAAATTTGAATAAGCTGACTATGCTTTACCTGTAAGGGAAGGAATGCGGTATGACATGTATAACAAACACTTCTGAACGATATGAGTTTGTTAGAGACCTAGTGCATGTATGAAATCTTTAAAGTCTTGAACATTTATGATCTAGTAAGAAAGTTGATGTTAGCCACACTGGTTACTCAAGTACGTACAGCAGTCAATGTGCTGAAGTTTTGAGTGTAGATACAGAGCTACAGTTAACTGTAAGTCGGTCGCTTCCTAAGATTTTAAAGCTTTCTGTACTATTCGTAAGTCACCTAGTCATTCAGATGAAAAAACCTCTAGGGTATTATGTCGACGTCTGTAAGGCAGCATTTGAAATATGCAATCTTACTGACCTACTATACGAAGAAAGACTGAGACGCATAGGCCTATGTCCGTCATCATACCCCACATTGGGAGATGATTTAGTACTAGCCCATAGTATACGGAATGATGATTTTGCCAATAGTATCTTTTAGCTTTCCCTCCCATTTAGGACTGATAATCAACGAGGTATTTTAGTAAATTAGAAAAACCAAGATCAAGCCGTTTACGTCTAGAGTTTCATTTGTTGTACCGAGTAGTGACTTATCGGAACTTTCTACTTAAACATGTAATATCAGCACTGTCTGTTTTTACATTCAAAGGATTATCCGAACTTCTCAGCATTATTAAGTGAGAGGACTAATACGATTCGCTTAACCTGCCATCTATACCAGCTGGCTGGAGACTTCCGATGTCATTACCATGCAAAATATATGGACTTTGTAGTCTGGATTCATGTCTACAAATTAAACATTGAAGCAATGCTTTCAACTCGGCAACGCTGCAACTAACCAGCGTTATTCTCAATCATCTAGCATTGTAAGAATGTACTAAGTCGAATGAACGTTTAAAGCATTCTAAAAATTTTCAAACGAAATTCATTGACTTCTCGTTAATACATTTTTTTCTAAGTTACAAGCAGCCACCAGCAGATTGTTAACTCACAAGAATGAGCTAGCGGAGTCTACAACTGAGAGGATGGAATCAATTCAGTATATGACCTATATATCATATTTCCTGTTTCCTATGACCAGTGATGAATGGATTTCATGTGCCGTAGATTGATTCTGATCTATGAAGAAACGTGGTCAAAATATAACAGTACGCGAGGCAGATAAAATACCAAGATGACTATATATACTATCAACGGAAGTGACTATAAACGAGTGAGAAGACGGTAAAAAATGTCAACATCCAAAACAAAGTTGAGCATTGAATAGAAAACAGTAATAACAGTTATGTAACAAATGGCGCCTGGAAGTTCATTCTGGAGTTACCACCATAAATAGAGAACACTCGACTGGAAAATATGTGTTCCGCACAGTTAATAGAGACAACGTGAAGTGAAATATAAAACTAATAGAATCGTCGGAAAATAATCCAGACTAGTACTGTCACATAGTAAAGAGTGGTCTTAAAAGGTAATACAACATCATTGTAATATGGAACAACAGACCGATGTCATTAAGGCGGAAACAGGGATGACGTAGGCAGTATTTACTTAAACATCCGGCTGCAACGTGACTCAATCAACCAATTACTATTTTCTATTCACAGTTGATATCAATTAACGATGGGCTCAGATCCCCACAACCTGGTTTTGTCCCTTCTTTGTGTGGTTTGTGCTACTAATATTGACAGATATAAGTAGTATGCAACGTCAAACAGAAGTAAAATGTGTGGCGGCATAAGGTTAAGAAGATCGAAGGGAAGAGAACGAGAACAGAGAATGTTTGGTGTAAAAACGAAAGAACAATGATGATTGAGACAATTGACTGATATTTTGCAAATGAAGAATTTACTGTATGGTTCTCAGATTTTAATAAAATGTTCTGTAATTTTGTGTTCAAATACACTCAATTGTCCCTCTTGTGTTCATGTTCATTACGTTAGTAAGCTTTTAAGAGTGTCTAGTCTTTTCTAGAATATGTCATTTAGAGGTGTGGAGACCACATTATTGAGTAACAGGTCCCGTGAGTTGACGACTCGGTGTGCAAACTGATATGCCTTGAGGATCTTATTTCTCAGTGGATTTCGCACTCGCCTCATATACTCATATATCGTGTGATCTGGTAAGAAAAGAAAACGAGGATATTGCAGTTTCAATATCATTTCTTAATATCCTAAACATATAAAGATGACACAGGTATTTGGAGTTAGACAACATCTTTACCCATAACACCTATATAATCAAAGTAAACCAACCCAGTCAAATTAAAAGTTAGAAATGAAGGAGTTCGATGTTATATTTGGAAAGCTATGGATATGTCGAGAAGCCTTCAATCTAAGCTGGTTTGCAGTTCAAGATATGAGTATCACGACACACCCACTCGTGATCTGATGCAGATGCGTGACAGAGCGCCTTCAGCTAGATGTTTGCACTGAAGCTAATGTGGTCAGCATCGATGTCGAAGATATACAGAACTTAATTTTTGGGGATTTATTTACTGTTACACATAAAAAACCGACCACTGCTTGTCTTGAGGTAGGAAAGAGGAAGTAAGCTTAACTTCTCAAGCAGCTCCGTGTTATTTAATATGAACTTGATTGCACATATTAGGTTTAGAGGGGGAAAAAGATATTGTCTTTCATTTATGTTTATGAAAATTATTGAATTTACTTGTCAACATAGCTCTCACAGACATGATATAGTCTCTGAAACAGTGAAATAGCCGACGTCATTCGTAAATGATACTGAACCTAGTTATAAGAAGTTTTTAGTAGTAAAGAATAAAAGAATCAAGAAACATATTGATTTTAAATTAAGGAAAGAAACAATGGCCAGCCAACCTTTATGAACAGTGGTAAACAAACATTGAAGCCGCAGCCAGAATAAATCTAGCGTGATCAGAATCAAAACAAACTAATTCATTAACTTTCGCGTTCAAACACAAAAATAATTCATAAACGAGTTCGAAAATCACATAAACGATAGATGACTCCATATTTCATATTGCGCGGCACAGTAAGACTGAATAATAAACATTAACTTTTTCCTTCTAAAAAAATAGATGTTGGTTTACCGATATACTATAGACTTCTTTGATTTCAATAGCCTTTGAGTCTTGTCTTGTGTTTAAATTATTAATCAATCGCAGACGGTCTTGTTACGGGTTATCGTGCTTTTTTGGTTCAAGGTTGTGAACTCATATCCTAGAGAATGGTAGGTTCCTATGTTTCCTTTGCATAACGTGTACACCAGGCCGACCAGTTAACAGAGGAACAGATTGCTGAGTTTAAAGAAGCATTTTCCTTGTTTGATAAAGATGGTGATGGTACAATCACCACTAAAGAATTAGGTACAGTCATGCGCTCTTTGGGGCAGAACCCTACAGAAGCTGAACTGCAAGATATGATCAATGAAGTAGATGCTGATGGTAAGGCCACATTAGTTGAGTCACAAGCAAATTAAGGCAATGGTACAATTGACTTCCCTGAGTTCTTAACAATGATGGCCAGAAAGATGAAGGATACAGACAGTGAAGAAGAGATTCGAGAGGCATTCCGCGTTTTTGACAAAGATGGAAATGGATTCATATCTGCTGCTGAACTCCGGTTAGTTTGCAACTCTTAAAACTTCATTAGTGGGAACATGGTATTTTTTAAAATATGGAAATCTAAAGACGAATTTCGTTAGACAAAAAATCTACATTTTTCTGATATCTTTGTACACTGCTAAATTAAACTCGTTTTAATCTATCCTACCTCCTTGAAAATTCTTGATTGTCTAGCACAGAACAACCGTTATATAAGCTTCCCCTATACTAAGCATGCTCTTCATGGTACTGATTTGTCAATTATGGGTTCCTAGGTGAGACTACAGTTTATAGACAGTCTTTGAGTAATGCTAGAATGACCTCAAGATATCCACCTTGCTACGGTTAAGTATGGGACTTATACTAGTGTGAGGGATTAGGACTGGGATTTAAAGTTAAACGTTAGGGTTAGGAATTCGATTTTATATTTCCATCACGAAGTGACATCACTTGTAATACTAAAATGGTATTTAGCAAAGTAAATAAATGAGTCCCTCGTCAAAATCTGAGATCTGTAATCTGACCAGTTCATAATTGTCACCAATAAAACAAAATAAGCCTCCAGAACATAATGAGTTCGTTGTATCTCATCACTTTCTCATCTACACACAAGCTGTGTCTAATTATTTCAACTAAAAACAACCTCAAATTTAACCCATTGCGCTCAAGTTATGTGTAGTGTTGAAGAAGCTAACATTCTAGAGGTGGGGTCATTCTTTTAACTGCTTAGTGTAATGAACCTAGAATGTTTGGGCGATTGTATTGCTCTGACCATACTTTCGGAAGTTAAGTGAGAAATTGGACTTGAGGTCAACTCACTCATATTAACTTGTTTGTAGCTAAAGAGAATGCAAAGGAATTAATGAGTTTATCATATTTTACTAACCGGTGTTGGAGATGGTTGGAAGAAAGTTAGGGGTGGCCAAAACAAACTAACTTCTAGTCTGATCCACGTTGGGAGATGCAGACTACTTAGTTGGGGTCCGCGTGACTGTCGTAACCAATGATTAGAGACTCTTGGTGACATGGCTCAGAATCCGTCACAATGGCATCGGTGTATACGCACTCTGTCTTCCCTTAAACTAAGAGATTAAAATTGCTTCATATCTTTCTTTCTACGAACGAATTCTTTCATCCTGTACTATATCCTGATTGCAATCTTTCTTTTAAATATTACCACTATTGAATTAACTACTTTTATGAATTCGGTGTCCATCTTGTTGTGTTAATGAGGTATGGCAACTTGGACCGATGCATAAATGTGCCTGATCCTACGTTGTAGCTGACTGACTGACTGAATTAGAACATATGTTGTAAGATAAAACTTTATTCTCAAGATTTGCACGAACCAGAAGTATGAATACATTTTAACCCCGTTACCAGCCATCATCCGCGTTACCACACAATGTTGACTGGGTCATGTAAAACGACGCGGCGAATGAGGTTTTGCTGTAGGCAAGTCAGTATGTGATACTTGTTAAGAATTACAAGGGTTTCACATATGACCCAGTTTGAACAGAGACATATAGTCAGTCTGAATGGAATTTTTTCCAACAGGCGTCTGTAGATAATCAGGTGAACATATTTCTGGATTAAATCAATGAGTATTGGATTTTAAGTGACTAAATGGCCACCTAACATGAACAGTGTGACGTTATGTCCATCAACCAATGACCACGCAAATAACACAATCGACTGAACTTTTACTCAGTGATATAGATGACAATTGTTCAAAAGTAAGTAGTCATATGACGACAAGTTTTGGTAGTTTCAGAAATTCTGTCCAAAATTTCTTTGTAATGAGATTAATCCTGGTTTATTGTTTGCTCTGTACATATATTTTGTTGCTGGAACATACCTACGGTTCCAAACCGATAGAATGGCGTTGTAAATTTTATGTGATAGTCTTATCCTTTGCTACTTCACAAACTAGACAATCCTCGTATGTTGTTTGGTCACGGGCTTCATGCTCCCTTTAATGTCTAGTTAGTCCTCTCTGGGTTTTTTGCAAGCAATTATTTTGTGCCCAGTAAGGCTAATAACTGTTTGGAGTCTGGGTTTGTTTCCGACCGAAGCTGCTACCTTGACGCGGTGGTCGGGCTTGCCTATCGTGATGACCCAACCGAGCTATATTGGCTGGAATATATGTTCCTGTAGGTTCTACCATGCCAGGGAGGTCGATTGGTGAACGGTAAGACTAAAAGCAGCAACTCAAGGTCTGAGGGCGAAGTCGTACTGCTGACTGTAGAGAGGTGTGACAGCAGTAAGGCGTTTCCCTTGGACAACCAGCATGACAGCGATGCTGCCTTCCCACAAGGAGGGGTGGGGTTAGAAAAAGTCGACCCTAAAAATGTCACACCTCACCTTACCTCACGGATTTCCGTCTCCGGCGGTAAGGCCCTTTGAAGAACGGAGCTAACACGTCAAAAACCTTCCACAAAAAGGCCGTGCGCGACCGGCCTCAAGCAGTTGTCCCTTGGGCTCTGTGGTCACGCTCCCAGGTCGTCAAGACCAACACTAATCCAATTTCCTTTTCAGGTTCCTCAAGAAATACCCTTCCACGGTGTGGGCAGCCGGGAAGTGACATCAGCCCTCATACCCGTAACAGCACACGAGACCAAGTTGGTCACATTCAAATCCTTCCTACACCTAATACCTCTCTTATCTCCATGACTAACCCTCCTCACGTCCGTTTATCACCTCGCACCGCTAGGGCAAACGATTCGAGTACGTGGAACGCTATTCCTGGTCTCCTGAAACCACACTCTAAACTACACGTAGGAGCTTTTAACGTCCGAACACTGTGCCAAATAGGACAGCAGGCTTCCTTAGCTAGGACTTTAGAATCTCGCGCCATCGATGTGTGCTGCGTCTCCGAAACGCGCATACAAGATCCAAGTAGCGTCATTCATTTGACCTCACCATGCCAAAATAAAGAACCGACTCGATTTACGTTTCGTGTATCTGAAAGCCCTGATTCTGCTTCCCGTGGCCTCGTCGGCGTAAGTATAGCATTGAGTCCCAGAGCAGAACTAGCTCTCTTAGAGTGGATCCCAGTAGACAGCCGCTTGTGCGCTGTCCAACTGAACGGAACAGTAAGAATCCGGAAAGATAGGGACACTCGTCGTTGCCTCTTCGTCGTTTCTGCCTATTCTCCCACTGACTGCAGCTTAGATGATGTAAAAGATGAGTTTTACAGAAAGCTTTCCAACCTTCTCCGAAAAGCTAGGCGCCCTGATGTAGTAATAGTGGCCGGTGACTTTAATGCTCAAGTAGGTAAACTAAGCGACAGGGAAAGACACCTAGGTTGATCTTATAGCATCGTGGCTCAAAGAACAGATAATGGTGACCGTCTGTTGCAGCTATGCTCAGATAACCGCCTGTTCCTTGCAAATACTAACTTTAAGCATAAGGAAAAACATCTTTTAACATGGCGACCCCCTAATTCGTCCCAACGTTGGACCCAAATAGATCACATCGCTATCAGCCACCGATGGAGGGGCTCGATAGAAGACTGTCGCTCATTCTGGAGCACATGCTTAGATTCAGATCATGCTCTAGTGCGAGTGCGTATTTGCTTGCGTCTTACTGGACGTAGGAAAGACGCTGCAAGGAAACCTCTTAGGGACCTACTTAATAATAGCCAAGTTAAGAGTATATTTCAGGAACAACTAGGAAAACAGTTAGGCAGCCATGTATGTGATGCCCATCCCGATGCAGCATGGAATGATATCCGAAAAGCTGTGGAGACAGCAGTGATATCTGCTAGTAAGGTAAACCAGAAGGTTAGGAAGCAACACTGGATCTCAACAGCATCTACCGCACTGATAGGTGCTCGAAAACTCATTCTATCTGGCTCTGAACATAACGAAGAGCGGAGTTAGCTTAAGCACAAGCTGACAAGAAGCCTACGCAATGATCGCGAACAGTGGTGGGTAGCGAAAGCAAGAGAGATGGAAAAGGCAGCGGCAATAGGTAATAGCAGACAATTGTTCAGACTTGTTAAGGAAACCAGTATTAGGAAACCGACTGTTAGCGAAACAATCTCAGAGAAAGATGGACATATTATTCATTCTCAATCCAGGAGATTGAATCGATGGGCAGAACACTTTAGGGATCAGTTCAACTGGCCTTCAGCCACACTTCGGTTTCCCACGATCTCTAGTCAACCTGAATGGCAAGTTAATGTAAGTCCTCCGTCCCTTTACGAAATTGAAAAAGCCATAGGAAATCTGAAACGAGGGAGAGCAGCAGGCCCTGACAGGTTTACTCCTGAGATTTTTAAGGATGGTGGTTCAGTATTAGCAGTGAGATCAACTGAGGTCTTAAGTAGAATTTGGGAACTGGACGTACTCTCATCTGACTGGCCTCAATTACTGATTGTGCCAGTGTATAAGAAAGGACAAAAGTCCTCTTGTGACAATCACAGAGGAATCAGTTTGACTAATATAGTGTCTAAAATATTAGCCTCAATAATACTTCGACGCCTAATCAAAGCTCGTGAAGAGCAGATTAGAGAAAACCAGGCTGGTTTTCGACCTGGACGTGGTTGTATAGATCAGATATTCACACTACGTCAGGTTCTAGAACACAGACACACATCCAGACACCCCACAATGGAAGTATTTCTCGACCTTAAGGCGGCATTCGACTCTGTCGATCGTGAGGTTCTATGGCAGTGTTTTTCACTGAAAGGAGTACCAAAGAAGTACATTAACCTTATAAAGGCTCTCTACTCGAACACAACTGGTAGAGTGAGAGCTTATGGCGAACTGTCATCAGAATTGATCACCTCAAGTGGTGTTCGTCAGGGCTGTCCACTCTCCCCATTCTTGTTCAACTTTGTCATTGACGTACTTTTAGAGATAACACTCTCCTTATCTAAATTTACAGGGGTTGAACTTCTACCGGGAGGTTCACTTGTTGACTTAGAATATGCAGATGACATAGTTTTATTTGGTGAAGACGCTGACAAAATGCAGTCTTCTGACCACTCTAAGCAACAATGCAAGGATGTTCGGGATGCGATTCTCTCCCTCAAAATGCAGAATGTTGCTTCAGGATTGGGTTATATCGACACCCGAACTAGTGATAGGGAGTGAAGTAATTGAGCGTGTCGATCGCTTCACTTATCTTGGAAGTCTCATCAGCCCTTGTGGTCTGGTGTGTGACGGAATCTCAGCACGGAGACAGAAGTCTCGACTAGCTTTTGCCAACTTGCGTCATTTATGGCGTAGGCGAGATATCCGTCTATCAACCAAAGGACGTGTTTACTGCGTAGCAGTTCGTACCGTCCTACTTTATGGCAGTGAAACATGGCCGGTAAGAGTAGAGGATATTCGTAGGTTACTAGTATTTGATCATAGGTGTCTTCGAAACATTGCTCGTAATCATGGGACCATCGAGTAAGTAACACAGTTGTTAGGAATCGGGTACAAGATAAGGATGGCAAATCAATTGATGAAGTAGTGAAACTTCATCAGTTGAGATGACTGGGACACGTGTTACGTATGCCCAACAACCGACTGCCTCGACTAGCGATGTTCATTGGTATAGGAGTAGGTTGGAAGAAAGCTAGGGGTGGCCAGACCAAAACATGGCACAAATTCATGAAGTCACTGACAAGTGGACTGAGCCATGTTGGTAAGTGTAGACTACCTGGTTGGGGACCACGAGATGATAGCAGCCGATGGTTTGAGACCCTGAATGACATGGCTCAAAATCGTTTGCTATGGCGCAGGTGCATCCATTCTTTATGTTCTACCAAATTCTAATCTTCTGAATTCTTCATGTCCCGCTCTTTTCTCTTTCCAAATTTATTTCATTGGATTATACTCTTTGAATAACATCTCCAAACCCTAATCTTCCCGATTACTGCTTATACTCTTATTACCTCTATCACTACGGGATTTGAATCGACAACTGCATCTCTGTACTAATGTGGTATGGCAACTCGAACTGATGTATGTACGTACGAAGTTCTACGTTGTTACTGACTGTGGGTTTGTTGTGATCAATGGTTAAAGATGTTGAGTTCATGATTTAAAATTAGTCTCAATGGTACATATACATTAGCTCTTTGTTTTTGGTTAGATCATGAGTTTCAAAGTTTCTCTGTACCTTTTATTCCACCGATTAATTCCCTCCAATTATGTTCTGTATGTCTATCTCTGACGCCACGACTTTTATATTCATTTCGTCCTAATGTTTTTCACTCAGTGACATTTCCCAGTCCTAAAGCAATCTAAGTGTCGTGGGTAATCTTCGGCACTGTGATATTACAATGATTGTAAAGCACGGTGTACGGCTACTCAGTGTACCCAATTTTGTACTACACTGACATTGAATCAGAACAACTAAGAATTTCCTTGACGCGAAAACCACTTTTTAGCGTTACATTCGACAGCTTAATCGTATCAGTTAGGATTTATTGGCTATTTTATGTACAGCAAAATCACTTTGAAATGGGTATCCTTGATATATTATATATCATATCTCGTAGGCTACACCATCAATCGCTGTTCACCGCTGTTCAGATAAGTCGGGCAAAATAAATGACCAGTCTAATAACTCATTGTAAACTAAGTGATAGTTTTGCTGGCTTGATGCCTGTCGGTCCAAATCCCTTGCGTAAAGTTCCATAGTTAACTCTACTATCATCAAAGGCATCTCATGATCAAGGCTATATGTGATCCTTCAGTTGTTACAACAAGTTACTAAGTTAATCAGCTCTCTTGATAGGTACTTCATCTGGCTTCCTAAATATCATTTATATTTGCCTGTTTGTTTTTCCGTGATATCATGCTATTTCGTCTTACACGTCGTTTGGCGTCCATAACTTAACAAGTTTGTATTGAAATAATCCACTCAGGAGAACATTTACACAAAATTTACTTTCCTTGTTTGATTATGATAGTTCTATACTGTTATCCTATGTTCTTTGGAGTTTTATTTGGTACCGTATTGTTGATTAAAGAATTCTCAGCTTTAATATATAATGGTACAAATTCCAGTTTAATATGTTTAACTTGTTAATACTTGAAATCTACATAAGGGAACACTTCTCAATAGTGATTAGCTACTATGCATCTTTATCCCTATACTGATTTGATCAGTTTTCTTTCTGTGATATCTTTTCTCACTTCGTAGTACACTTGAGGCATCGATTTCAATTCGACTATCTTTTACTTCTCTAATGAACACGCGAGCAGACAAACATAGCAACCTCGCCGTAATGATTTTGCTCGAATTTGACAGTAATTATCTGTTAAGTTTTTAGCGGGAACTCTTGAGTACATTAGGTGATTAACAAAATATTTGAAAGGTTTAAAAACAGGTGACCTAAAGAGTTTTGGGGTTAGTTTCCACTACACCCCAACTATTCTCAGTCCGTGGCGTAAACCACATCTATGTGTATTTATTATATGCAACAATAACTAAACAGATCCTGGAAAAAGGCAAAGTATTACGGAATAAAACTCTGCATCCCGAAGAGAATATCAAGTCTCTATACTTAAGCAAAAATTTTTTACTGTTTTAAATAGTTTTCCGAAAACTTTTATATGTAGAATATCTACTGAAAATGCTAACCCTATTGTGTGCCCTTATGTATTTTCCACAGACATGTAATGACCAACTTGGGCGAAAAGTTAACTGATGATGAGGTCGATGAAATGATACGCGAAGCTGATATAGATGGTGATGGTCAAGTAAATTATGAAGGTAAATTCAGTATAACTTGTCTTTTTTTAAGTTAGTGGTCGGATTCTTGTAGATTTAGTTGTTTTTACGTCTTAATGTAGTTATTTGGTATTGTTAGTAGTTTGTTTATGTTTCACGTATTTCATAGTTGTTTATTTATGTTGTGCATCATATATATATATATTTTTATATATATCTTTATATATTTGTTGTTAAAATTTTGCAATTTCATTGTTGTCTTTTTTACTCTATACATCTGCGGTGCGTTTTCATGTTCACCTCATCCGACTTATCTGACGGTATTCGCATGTGATGCCTTTGTCCTATCTGCTGTCATCCCAAAATTTATCTACTTCTGTGAACTACATCAACAGAATTCGTGAAAATGATGACAGCGAAATGAGAATACTAAAATAATACATCAAAACTAAACATTCTCATCACACTTTCAGCTGAATGCTCATTTTGAGCAAAAGAATGTCTGTAAAGCAATTTTGTGATTGGCGTGTTGAGTCGCCCATTGTATACGCATGTTTTGTTTACAAACTACGTAACTGATTATACTGTTTGTGTTTTTAATGCTCTGGGCTATTTTTTGTCTGTTTTTCCCCCAGAAAATTCAAAATGTATGCCCCCACTTAAAACAACAATAAAGCCCTTACTGCTCACTTTTTGCATATATATATATATAAGCCTTATTTCTTTAGGCTTTCTATGTGATGTTGAATTAATCTATGTTAAGATTTTTCCGTAGACAGTAATTATTGTTTGTGCTATACGTTTTCACGATTCTTTCGTTCGCTTGGGATATTGCATAGGTCTTTAAAGTTTCTAAATCAACCATCTAACAAATTTTATGTGGAATATAGAAATTTTGATTCGTATTTTTCATTTTCCGATAAAGCTAGAGTAGTAATTATTGCCGTTTAAAAAGGTAGTAGAATAAAAGTCTTTCGTGTTATGTACCACATCGTTTCACAGGAAGATTTAAGGGTCTTTCGATGATTCAAGTTGAGCGTTAACGGTTTATTCTTGTAGTGACAGTAATTCACACTACCTAGGTCGGCTTAACTTTAGTATGCAATGCTATTTTTACCTATTTAAGTACAAATTAATTTGAGAAATCCCTTCCTGTCACACTATTATCTCATCCTTCGTTTTTTTTACAAATGATAATGCATGCATATGTCGTATTTGTTTATTTTTCCGAGTATAATTCGTTGATTGGTTTACCTATTTTGTTTGGGAAAAATGTAGTACGTGGTAGTTTTGTGGTAGATGTCAACTTTGGGGATATTCTCTGTTATAATTGCCTATTCCTATTTTCAGAATTTGTTACAATGATGACGACAAAGTAACCCGAACTAGTTTATACAAAACATTATCATTCCTGGTATCTCCACTAGAAGAAGTGAATTACCGTCGCCAAAAAACTTCGTACACGTTAAGACACTTGTTGACAGTGACTTGTAGGAAAGCCTGATTTATATATATAAATATATACATATGTATACGCATGTCATCTTGTCATTTTCACACGTTTCCTTGATTAACTTTACCCCTCCACACACATACGTTTCCTCGCTTTACCATCTCACGAGGTAATTGTTCACGTTCATTCTTTACGTCTTACATTATTACGATTTATTCTTTTAAACATCTTTAGTTATTTTACTCATCAGATGTTTGTGGTGAGAATGGTTTTCCTTTTTTCCTCTTAAATTTTACTTTCCCTTGCTCTTTGCATTCCAATGATTGAGTTTGTTACTGTGCCATGACGTTATTGGTGTATATGCATATTTCTTTGTTTTTCTATTCCCCTAAAAGAAACTGTACTATTTTCCTCTTAATATAATGTCTGATTATTGCATTAATGAAAAAAGAATGAATAACATTTTAACTGTTGAAATGTGCACTATAATCCTTCCTGAAATAAGTCCATTAATGAAATCAGTTTGCTCACTTATATCTTTCTTCTCTAAAATTCTAATATTTGTTTCACCATTAAAAAGGTTTTTTAAATTGGTTTAGTGAATGAAACTTAAAGCAGTTAACCAATAATTTTGTCAAAGCTATTCCAAATAGTTCATTTCAATTGTCACATCTCATCAGGTAGGTCTCATTATCAGGCTAAAAATGTTGTCACGTTAATGCTTTGCTGAAAACCCATTAATTCAGTAGATAATAATCACTAAACAGTCAATTGAATAGATGTTATTCGAAGCTATTGTGTTGTTAAATGGGGCTATGTCTATTTAGCGCGATTCATGCGAATTATTTTCATTGAATCAGGTTTATATATTCCTCTTTAAAATATAACTGGTAGTTACAATGCTTTAATTCTGTTTCAAGCGGTCACCATTATCACAGCTTCACATGTAGGATCACGTATCCCAATTGATAAGTATTACATAATATCACATCTCGATCTAAATTTGGTTTACGATTTTAGAGTAATCAGTAACTGTTGATGAGTTTTTGTTTGTTAACATAGGGTTATATTTGTTTGTTCCATAAATTTCTACTGTGGACAGTTTCTGTCCAATATTTAATAACATGACTATTTCTAGTCAGTTTTAGCATGGTTGTTTGGTATTGCATGTTCACTTTGCTTCGTGGACCTTGTTTTACATCATTGCCAGTTGTAACAGTTTTTCCGTTTGTTTGTCAAAAGCTTATTTTAACCAGAGTAATTTCTGTATAAGAAAATTGGTAGATATCCACTTATTGAATTTATCATGAAGGTAACAATGATTTAACGACTAAGTTGCTTTATATCAGGAAATAATCATATAAAGGTTCAAATCGCTATGCATTACTTTGTAAATGACTTGAGGGAACGTCAATGAAATGTAGTCGTGTAATTTAATGTGAACAGGGATTTCGATTTACTCGCTTTTGAGGTACTCGTGCTTCTGTCTTCGAATATTGTTCGCTGAAAGTCAAAGTGTTTTTTTCTTAAATAATAAATTAAGCTTTTTAAACCGAAATTGTCTAATATTTCTTATGCGTACTCAAAGGCACTATTTTTGTGCAATGAATATACTTAATAACCAATCGTCGGTCTATTCATTTTTATGTATTGTACTGTATAACGTCAATACAATGCATTGCATTACTTAGACTTCTTCGTTAAAACTACAAATCTCATGTTTCTATTAACCTTTTTAATGATGTGGTGTTAAGGTAATCTGTTAGCATAAGTATTTCCACTTCATCTGATTTTTGAAAACTTAAACTTGTTCATCATAGCGATATGGGATAGTTAATCGCGTCTAATATTCCATCGGTTCCAAAAATAAGATTTCTTAGGATTTAAAGTGTTTAGTTTAGTGTGAATATATTAAGGTATGTGATCCAAAAGTGTTGACAGTCCGTTAGATCAGTACGTTGTAATTAGTTTGTGCCTATTTTAACAACTTCCTAGGTCAATCGATTGCTGCCGTATTGAGATTTTGTTGCTGTTTTAGTGACTCATCAAGATCCCATTCCGTTGATTTCATTTTGATATGGGCACCAGAAAATTAAATTTGTGTTGCAAATGAGTCACGGAGTAAATCAATTGAATATTTAGTACGATATATTTTAATATAGTAATTGTCCACTTGTCTGTACTATAGGTGTAGTTCGTTTCCTATGATTATATTTTGTCAGATCGCTTGGTCTGTTTCGAGAAGAAAACTACCATTAACACAGTAGTTACTATTTTGATGCTATAGTTCCGTGTTGTGTTATCATGGGTAATTAATATTTAACTGTTTATAAGGTACATAAATCTCTGTGATGTGGATCGCGATGTATCTTGTTTAAATTGTAAATTACAAAAAGCTATTGCTAGCTAGAGGGGTACGTTAGTTCTACAGCATTAAGAACTTGCTAACGAGTATCTTTCACCATACAATCACCTTTAGGTTTTGTTCAACATTTGTATAAAAATTATACGTTTCCCCCTTCTATTCATCACTTACCAATGGCTAAGAGATTACCAATGCTTTATTGACGGAGTTTGTGTACTTAAGGTGGTTTTTTGTTCTATCAGCGATAAACATCTCTAAGTTTGGCGGGAGGCATGTATTTCAGACGTAAAGATTACTGCTCTCAACAACGTTGACGGTCTAAATTAATTCAAATAACACCTTAGACAGCATCATTAGTGATAGTGGATTAAGAATTAACTTTACTATTATCTGTATTCACATATGTTGTAAAGTATGCTACGGATAAATTAGGGCTTCAAATGAATACATACTGTTCAAAGTTGCTATGCTTCGGACCAGCGTTATTAAAAGAGATAATGCCAATCTCATCACTGGCAAGAAATTAAAAGGTATATGTAGAAGTTTGTAAGAACGCTACGTCTTTCGTGCCGTCCAATCCAAAGTAGTCATAGTCAATTATAGTAACTAGGCGAGCTGTAAGGATCGTATGCATCGATTTGTCAATCACTTCGTGGAACAGCGTTAGTTGCGTTAAAATAATACACTAGCTAACCTTGCCAGTGGTATCGATTTATTGGGTCTAAATGACATAAATATAGCGAAAACGGTGAAAGATTATAACATAGCTTGAGTTCACGTGCTGAGACTACTCGTAGCAGTTTTCCTCAATTAACCAACTAATTTAACTACTTGACTAGTGTATTGTAATGACAACAGTCGATGTACATTATAACAACAATCTTAGTTTCTCAAGATTTCACTATAACATTATTGATGGTTTGAGTTAGCGTTCTGGCAAGGAACCTCGATGTAATTGCAGCGTTTTGCTAATGGTTAAATGAAAAGCAGAAAACGTCCAAATATTTCCATTTTTCTTCCCTGGGACAATACACATCATATTACTATGAGAATTCGTGTATCAAGAAACCTGTAAAGTAGTTAGTTTAGAGAAAAAATTTTTGTCATCATTACAGTACCATTCATGTGATATTTCGAAATCAATAAGTCTCATTATATGATATCATCTGATTTATTAATTTCGAATTAATTAAGTTTTAAAAAAGCTAACAGTTGCACTACATT